TGAAAATGGATGTGAGTTAAAATCTTATAGGGCCCATCTCATGCAAAATAACTCTTTTCACATTGTATCTTCTGCACATAAACAAGCACAATTTGGGTTTTGGAACATCCATTACACAATAGTTCTGAAATCTTACTGATTTCTTGGAGACAGTCACAGACCAGGAACTATGAAAGTCTGACTATTGCTCATCCCCCTGTCCGTCCTGAGAAAGCACAGGCTCCGCCCTCCAAACATGACGTAGGCTCTGAGTGAGCCGCCCTTCCTCCGCCATCTCAGGGAGGGAGGGGGAGACAGGTGTGCACCCTGATAGTGGTAGGAATAAACTTTTATTCATCATGGAGATACAGCGTGTTCAGCCGCATGTGTTGGACCTGGAATCAGACGAGGACTTTGAGGTGCACAAAGAGCAAGCACCGCGTCCACATCAGTTGAACATTATTAATACTTTATCTACTAGTGTTTACTGATTTGGTAAATTTATTATATCGTGGACACTGCAGTGTGGGAATTGCTGCCCGATGTGGGGTGGAGGCAGTGTAGCTGGGGAGGGGGGCGGGTGCGAAGTGCTTTCTGCTGTCATAGATGTAGCTGCCGCGTCATCGTTGTAGCAGCTTTAGTTTGTTGTCACGTGGGAGGGTGGCAGAAATACGTTGCAATTTGTTAAAACAAAACAAAACACAGAATACATCTAAAAAACCACTTCAGCGACATCTACAAGGCCCACACATCACTCTTAGAAGGTAGAAAGCTCTGAAAAGTTGATTTTGCATGAGATGGGCCCCTTAAGTCGCATTTTCATGAGCAGTTTGGGGCTGCTTAGGTGTGCGTCTGTTTGGTTAGGCCACCTCCAGTGGGTTTGTGTCTTCACTTTAGCACCACACGCATCACCCTAATATAGTGAATGTTTTCTTAAATTGTAAATTATACTTTTCTATTGCATTTAGTTTTTCCAAGTTTGTGGTGCTCTGAGATGTAGAGGGGTCAGCTCTCTGTTCCCATTTTTTGGGGTTGTATGACACCCAGGCTGGCGCTACCAAATGCCTCCGCTTAATTCATTTTTCTCCAGCAACTAGGTCAGGAATCAAAATACAATAGACGGTTTGCAAAAACCCCAGAAGTGCAAGTTCAGCACCAGCCAATCAGTGAAGAGCCATATATTCTGTGTTGTCAACAAATTCCAAGATTGGAGGATTTAAAGCCGGAATAAAGAGAATGTTTGGTGAATTTCATCAAGGGGAAAGATGTTATTGTTTTTTTTACAGGATTTCAGAAAGCTTAATTTACCAGCAGAGACCATATATATGAGTATAATATATGAAGACTTCATAGATTAATCTAAGAAAGTAAATGTTCATATTGGAGAATCACTAACAATATTTAGGCAATTCTTACTCTAACCTTTTCAAAATGTACAAAGTTGTTCCTCCAGTAACAGACAAAATCACACCCACCAATGCAGCCATTTTGAAAATGTCTCCTCTGAGCCTGTTATTTACTGACAACTATGGAAAGCCCACTAGGGGGCAGCTGACAAGTATTTACTTGTATAGAACAGGTCTTTCAGGAAAAATATTGATTATGTGGGTGGGCAGAGGCATCAGAATTAGTGACGGGTCATTTGAAGCTGAGGCACTGAGGCTTGTACCGAGTAAAAAGGGGCGTGTCGAGTGAAGCCCCAATTCGAGGCTTGCGTCAGATTGCCAAAAACCACGTGACCGGCATAAAGTGAAGCCTCACTTCCCACCTGTCACGTGACTGTTTTAGTCTACGTGTCACTTTTCAAAATAAAAGCGCGTAGTACCTCGCTGCACCTTGTGGGTGTCGTAGGTTGGTTGTAGTTTGAGAAAGAGAGAGAGTCAGTGTCAGTGATAAGTGCTAGAAAAAAGTTAAGGTTTTGTATTTGAGGTTTGTATTCAGGTTTAGTTGGGCCTAATTTAGCTAAACTAGGTTAGTTAGAACACACTCAAAACACAAAAAAGAAAAACCTCTACAGTGTGGGAACACTTTGAAATGGCTGCACCAAACAAGGTTATCTGAAATTATCATTATTATCTTTTGAACATTGCCTCTCAAAAATGCCTGTAATTTTTTCTTTGAGTTCAGATAAGCCCCACATATGCAAAATTTACTAACTTTTTAATTACATACAGCATAACTAGAATATTACAATGAATATGTTCAAATTTTATTTCAAGCATTGTACTTCCTTGTCCTAAGGTTAGATACAAAATCTGTGACAGAGAGCTTGTGCATAATGGCAACACCTCTGCATTGCTCAGACATTATAGAGCATTACATGTTGTTGCAGAACCTGAAAATGCTCCAGGGAACAATGAAGGTATCTGCATTTATCTTTTCTCATAATTCTGTATGTCTCATGTTTTCTGACATTTTAAAATTACTTGCATTTCTATTACTTTCATCAGAAATCACACAAGCAAAAATGGATGAAGCAGTTGCCAACCTTGTAATTAAAGATATGCAGCCATTTAATATTGTGGAGGGTGAGGGGCTTCAGGGAGCTTATGCTGCTGGTGGCCCCAAACTATGCGCTTCCCACTAGAAAAGTGTGTGCTCTGTATATTTGTTGGATGTATTGTGTTTAAACTAAAGTGTATTTGCATCTCTTTCAGGCCTTAAAGAAAATGGTGGATGAAAAATACAAAAAAGAAAAGGAAAAGACTAAGGTGGAGGTGGAAAAAGTGTGAGCTGTAAGCCTTATGACTGACATGTGGACCTCTGTTAACATGGATGCCTATTTGGCTATTACATGTCACTTTATTGACAGAGATGACAAAATGGGCTCGGTGTTGCTCGGAGTTGAGCACTTCCAACAGGCTCACACTGCTGAAAATTTGGCTCAAGTGATGGCCAAGCAGATTGAGAAGTGGCAATTAAGGAGCAAAGTAAAATGCATTGTCACTGATGCGGCTGCTAATATGACTGCCTGTGTAAGAAACTTACAAATCAGACGTTCATCATGCATTGCCCACACCCTTAATTTGCTGGTCAGAAAATCTTTTGAAGAAATAACTGACCTATCTGATATTCGCCTTAAAGCCAGAAAATTGGTCTCCTACTTCAGAAGCAGCACAACAGCCGAAGAAAAACTCGACCAAATACAAATTCAAATGGACAGACAACCACTAAAGCTGCTCATCAAGGTAGAAACATGCTGGAACAGCACACATCTCATGTTAGAGCGGCTATACAACCTGAGGGAGCCTGTGGCAGCAGCCCTGGCAGCACTGAAAATCGAATATTAGCTCACTGTTGTCTCATGAAATGGAGTCCATAGAGAACTGCCTGCCTTGTCTCCATTTTCCCAAGCAACAGAGGAACTTTCAGAAGGAAAAGAGTGAAAGAGTGAGAGAGTGACAAGGTATTTATTAACAAAAATTGTTTAGTCTGGGGGGGCAGGTTCCAGGGCTGCAGACGGGAAGTATGTAGTGACAGAGACTGACCAGAGGCTTACAAAGAACAGGTGGAAAATGAGATGAGGTGGGCTCCAAACAGAAGTACTGGGGAATGGACAAAAAGAAACTGGAAAGTACAAAAACATACAAAAAACCTGAGTATAACTTCACCACTTAAAGGACAGAAAGATTTGGCACTGGAGAGCAGGTCAGCAGATCTTTTATGGCAGGAGATGATTGAGTGATGAGGATCAGGAGTGGAGCTCAGCAGGTGTGTGATTGGGATCTGCCCAGGAAACTCCAAACAAAGTAATGAGAGAAGGGAGAGGGAGCAGTAGTGATGGAGAGATGAAGCCTCATTGGCATTGAACCACTTGAGCCACTTGGTTCGAGAAAGGGTTCATTTCTCCAAGCTTCATGTGTGCACGAAACCACCTACTGGCCAAGTGTGTAATCACAGGCAGCTCTATCTGAACCACATCATGTGTGATGCATTGAATTTTTGTGTCTTTTATGTCTGTTGGGAATGATTATGAATTACAAAAAATGTTTGACCAAATAATTTCTGTACATTATCACATATGTGTATAATAAATTTTGTATTCTGTGTGTGTAAATTTTCTCAAAATGGTAATATCATAATATGGCAGGTGAAGCTGTTTTTCTGAAAATGGCAGGGGCGTAATCAGGCAGGACAGTGAAAGTGCTTGTGGAACTAGGAAAAGGGCACAGATTATGCTTGTGTAACTTGGACAATGATGTACAGGACAGGAGACATTTTATTCATTTTTATTTAGAAACAAGAGTTTCTCAACAGATTTGGTTTTAAATGATTTTTTTTTTTTCTTCTTTTTGACACAACCTCTCCAGCCTTGGAGATATAAACGCTATCCAAACTCTCTAAACTCTATCCAAACTGAATGGAGTCTGAGAGTCTAATTGCTTTAATAGCTCGCGGCAAAATCTGAACCACTTCCCGAAGCAATCACATGGTACAGCCGGGCAGTGAGGCTTCAGACGCCATTATTTTTAACTCCTCCCCCAAATGAAGCAAGCCTCGATATGCGCTTCGCGGAAACACCCCCTTCATTACTCGACACACGCTTCGAAGCCTCGGCACATCTCATAACATCACTAGGGAGCAGGGAAAGGAGGGGTAGGAGGAGCAGCCTGAAACCCTCACTGTCTCGTTACATAATGCAGCAATCAGATATTTCTTTTAAATGAATGAATGGGATATATTTTATTTTCCTGAGGTGGTGGTGGTGTAGAGGTGAACGTTGCCACTTTGTAAGCAGCTGATCTGGGTTTGAATCCCAAGTTTGAGACTGGTTGAACTATGCAACTTGTAACTAGTACAGTGTATAAAAATAAACTGCTGTGCTGTTCTTAATATTCCAAAAATAGTGTCCAATACAGGAAACTATACTTCTTTACATCTTTGGGCACAGTTTCTGTGTACTTGCTTCCTCTAAGCTTCACTTCATCGGCTGTCAATCACGGCCTTTTAGGAGAGACGGCCAATTATAAACTGAAATAGTACAGGCCCCACATTTGGACAGGAAGTAGGGCCCAGGTAAACAGGAAGTACCTTTGATGAGGTGATTGAGCACAGCTTGTGATTTAAAGGATTATGAACTACAGGATGGTAAGTTTGGGCTTTGACTTCTGCTCTTCTTGCTGTTGTCTGGTCTTTTTTTTTTTTTTTTACTAATGAGTGATAATAGAGCTGCTTTGTTAGACTAGGCCTGAAGGGGCTAACATTGTGTTGTAGCTTGAGTTTGATTAGATGTTTCCACAGTATTGTTTGCTTTTGGCATCTGTACAAATTGGCAGTGGGGTCATTTCACGCCATTTCATCAAATTTCCAGAAAATCTCACGCATCTTTTTTTTTTTTTAAAATTTTTGAAAAAATTACCAGCTTCATAAAATACATATGTTTGGTACCATATGAAAGGTATTTTTCTTTCAGGAAAAACTACCCACATGCCATAATTTACATGTGAAAATCAGACCATGTTGTGTTTTCTTGTTTTTAACAGGACCCTCACACATAATCTCTTTCAAATTTTCAACATTTGGTGATTTTATTTTATTTTTTTTGAACAGTCCTAATACATATCTTGATTCTCAAAAAAAAAATTAAGGGTCTCCTACATCTGCAAGTAAGTTTAAAAAGGGGCTAAAAATGGTACGCCTCGGAAATTAACAAGTTTTTTTTTTTCACTTTAAGTTCATATAAAATGACAATGAGTTGAGATACCAAACTTTCGATAGATATTATTTGAACACAGAGTAGAGGACTACAAGCTTACAAAATTTCAGCCCTCTGTGTATGATACTTACGGAAATATTGAATCTGTGAAAACGGCTGAGAAAAATTGATGCGCATTTTGGGCCCGTAAATTGACACATACTCCCCTCACTAAATGAGCTGTAACTTAAAAAGTAATGATTGAAAATCACAAAAACTTCACAGGGTTGGTACATGATAGTAGGGGACTATTTGGTATTTCTTTCAAAATTTTTTGAGATCGAAATGCGTGGGCCATTTATTGAAATGGTGTGGAATGACCCAGTGTTAATTTTGTCGATTTTAATATAAAGTACACTTTATATTGTCATATTTTTGGTGAATATAACTAAATAGAAAGTACTGTAGTAGTGATGGTTTAAAACTATAACTTAAAGCACATCTATTCAGCAAAATCGACTTTTCAGGTCTTTTAACATTTTTTATTGTGGATACCCCTCACCATTTAATCCTCTGTCAGAGGCATCAGCTGAACGCAGAACCTTAAACTTATTGTTAAATGTGTACATATTAGACTGTTTATTGTCCTTTTCCTCTGACAGGTAAACAAATGTGTGTGTGTTATGCCCGTGTTATACGTTTAACACGGGCATAACACTGGAGAGCAGCCATACAGACAAAAACATATTCCACCAAATTCAGTCCTTTAGTCTATCTATGGCAGAGCATAGTGGCTTTTTGTTTCTATAAATGTAAACAATGCACACAGATCTTCCAGTATGTCATTATGGTGTTTACAGGTAAAGCCCTAAAATGACCCTAAAAGCTTTCTGTTTCATTCTTATATAAAGTTGGGTTTGTCCAGGTATTTGTTTTGTATGTCCGAGGCAGTGAAACCCTTACTGCATTACAAACTCTTGGTGCACTCTTGATCAACTGTATATTTCAGAGAAAATGCACACTGATTTGTGGAATGCCTCATGACTCTATCCTAAAGGAGCTATGACAGGAAGCATGCAGGAACCTTTTCCTAACTCAGTACAATGTTCAGACAGTCCTTATCATGGCTAATGACGGCATACATCCAGTTTTAGCTGAAGGAATTAGGAGCTTAGAGGCCAATTTGATGATTTTGGAATGAGGTGTTATTCCTCTGTCTGATCATTCTGGATTTACCAGGCTTCTGTCTTATTGCTTGTGTCATGAATACTAATATGAATATGTTACTGATTATGTTGTCTTCTGTTTAGTGTTTTTGATTTAGACTAGGGATGGGCATGATTAGTCCATTAACTGATAATTGATCATTAAGAATTTCATTGATTACATTCATTTTTAATCGACAAACTGAATGTAGGTTGCTGTGCGTAGCGTAGGCTGACCAAACATCCGTGTCGATAACTTGTACATGAAATTACCCGCTTTCTGTTCCGGTCAGGACAAGTGGGAGTTCATGTGCACAGTGTACAAATCAGCACATATGTTTCGGTGTCCAGTGGGAAAAAGCTCACCAGGACACCGAAAAACATGAAAAAGCTTTGCCAAGTGAGAGTAGCTCAGTGTCGATGACGAGGCCCCACCTCCCACCCCCCGTACGGTGTCCTGGTTTTGACAAACACAAATATGGTCACACTAATCTGTATTCCACTGAGTCATATCCTTTAATCCGACAGAAATTGAACCGCATCAGTGCACAAGAGCTGTTTTTTTCTTTGCTTAGTTTGTGCAAATGATCCATGCTGTTTTAAGTTTCATTTCTGTGAGACTTGCACAAAGCTGCGTTAAACACATTATAATGTCAAACGGGCTGATGTGGCTCTAGAGTCGTTATGGTTTATATGTCGTAAAGTTGAATTTATTTATGCAGATTAGTAGTGCAGATAGTAATAATAATGATGATAACTTTAATATAAAAACGTTAATTATTAATCGATAATCAATCGTTAATTCTTCCGACGATTGTTTAAGAAAATTTAATCGAATGCCCATCCCTAATTTAGACATGTTCTGTATTGTAAACCTTTTGTATGGTTACATTAAATTATAGTAGAACTATAAACTGTATGTCATGTTTACAGTTCAAATTGAAGATATTGAAATACCTGGAGAAGGGCGACAGCCTGGGGCTGGTATCTTTGCTCCGGAAGGAAGGCCTGGGACGTGGGACCCTGACCCAACTGCACCAGCTGGTCACCACGGTAACGCCATGTCACTCACTGAATAAAGCACACAGACAATACCTTAAGTACACAAAGAGCACTGACAGAGGCTGTACTGATGCTTTTTCCCATTTGAACTGTTGCAGGAGCTGTCTTCAGAGCGCTTCTCTCGTGTCCAGCTGGTGGTCAAGGCCTTGGACAAACTGTGTGAGAACAGCAAAGCTCTGCAGACTCTGCTCACGTCAGGACTCATCTCTAAAGTAATGTAATATATGTACTGTCTGATTAGAAGCATAAGGGTCTTTATTTCTTTTAAACCTCAAGCCACTCGGTGTGGAAGACAGTTTCACCATTTTCAGAGATGAGAGTTGACCATAATGCATGCTAACAGTACACTTCCTGCTTCTCAAAAAAAAAAAAAAAATGCCACCACTGTTCTTCACAAAGCTTTAACTGATTTTTAAATGAATGTTTTATCTGCAGATTACTTATCAAACGAGAGCTGAGGAAAGGTGGTGGTGTGATCAGGTTATAGTTATGTGGCCAGGCAAGAAAGAGGAAGCAGAGGCTCTAAATCAGGGGTGGGCAAACTTTTTGGCTCGCGGGCCACATAGGGTCCTAAAATTTGCCTGAAGGGCCAGACGGAACACAGGACATGACGTGTTAAGAGCTCAGCTGCATTATATTCGTATTTACGCTTATGTAGGAAGCGCACTACAACATCGCTGCAAAAAATCCAGAACACACATAAATCAACAGATCCGGTCCACTGCACATCACAGGGGAAGGTAAGTTATGAGGAAATAGGTTTTACTTAGAAACAGAACCCATGCCACAAAGTCACACGCGGCTCAACAAGACTCTTATGACGTACTGTAAGTCAATTTTTATGTCACAACATCTATAAAGTTCTTGTGTTTGACTTTTACCAACTCAAAATGGAAGCAGTGCAGTTTTATATCTTGAACCACCACTACTAATGCATGAAAAATAAAACACCAACAAGGTTTATTATTGTAATTTATTCCAGTTCTGCGGGCCGGATTAAAAGGTTTAAAGGGCCGCAGTTTGCCCACCCCTGCTCTAAATGATATCGAGTAGGCTCAGTTCTGTGTATTTTTACTATGAAAATATGTTTTCATAGTGTGACCTTCAGTGTTCTGTTCCGCAGCTCCTCTGGTGGTACGAGTGTGTGTTTGATAAGCTGACCTCTGACCTCTCCCACAGCACAGCCCTCAAGAACCTGACTGGGGCCTTCTTTGACTACTTTCTGGTGATCAACTCATTTTACAGTCTTAAAAACATGAAAAACAGAATTTGTTTATTTTTAAATGGCTTGCAGTGGTCCAAAGTTATGCCCCACTACTTACCTTTGCAGCTAGAGCATCATAATTATTCACCACAATGGCTTCATGAGTCCTCTTCACAACTTTCAAATGCTGGAGAAGTTTAATACTGCACTGATTATTGGACAATAAAATGGCTTTATTATTAGCTGCAGACCGAGCACAGCGATCTTATTTTGACCTCAAGAGATGCTTGTACATGTCTGAGAGAAACAAAAAAGAAATGTGTGAAACAGAACTAGTCAATTTGGAATTGTTGCAGTGGTCCAAAGTTATTTCTCACTGACCTTCTGAGTATCCTAATTACTCACTGCATTAAGCTGTTGTGAAGTGTGAAGTGGAACAAAGTTTTGCCGTGACAATAAAGCTAACAACTAGCATGCTTCAGACCCACTTACGTTGATCTTTTGTAACGTCACTGTCATTGCAGGAGCTGGTCAAACCCTCTGTTCCAGGTGAGAACTTCAGAATTGAAATATGTGTGTTCTGTTTGTAGCTGTCAGATGCGGGGCTGGAAACTGGAGTGGCACAGTTGATGATTATGGTTTTTGTGGTTTTGTTTTTTCCAGTGAGTGAGCTGCGTGTCATCCTCATGTATCTGTGCCGCACTGCTCTGGACCCCACAGTCGCCTTCAAACTCCGACTGGAGGTGAGTGCATCACATGACCCAGTGTCTCCAGAGGCGTGCAGTGTGCAGGGCCCATGTCCAGCAGCTGCACCACTGGAGCTGGGAGAACACTTATCATGGACATGGAAAAAAAGCCGTCTGGCTACTCCTGCTTGTTTTTCTGAATACTTGTGTTTACACACAAAGTTAAAAGGCACTGTACCTGATTTTTACGTTTTAAAAATGTGAGAAACACATATCACATATCTTCTGCATTCTGAGCATCATAACTATTCGTTTTTATTTGTTAGAGCAAGGTACAACAACAACAATATCAAAGACCAAGGATATATATGTGCACATGCGTGCGACCTGGTGCTCAAAAGCTCCTAATTATTCACTTTAAAGTGCTTTTTTACAATGAAGCGGAGTGAAGTTTTGCAGTGACAATAAAGCTAAACTCGTAGCATGCTAACACACACACAGACAATAAAATGCTTTATAATTAGATATAGACAGCAGAGTCCTGCACTGGGTTGGGTACCCGCAAATAGATGCTGAAACGGGCGGGTTTAGCATTTTGGAATTTTACAGGCATGTATGCGGGCGGGTAGTGATTACACACGGACGGGTCAGGTGAATCAAATATATAGTAGACAAATTATACATATATATATATACATATACACACTGGACTAATTTTGAATGGGTACAAGACCTTTAAAATGTGTCAGTTGTGAAGAACACAACATGCTGTGCAAAATGTAGTACAGAATGAGTTAGGATATGTTACAGTTAAAAAAACAAAACCAAAAAAACTAGTAACTTTTTGGAGAATAAATAGGAGTTAAAATAACCATCTGTATTTATATTCCATGTCCTGAGATACATGGTAAACATGTTTACAAGTCTTACCAGTAAGACCTACATTAGACTTAATGTTGATTTCTCCTTGGGTTGTCAGTTTCAATGCTGAAGTCCATTTGGTTTTCACCTAAAATGCCTCTCTGATCTGAATGGTCCCCACCTAAACCCCTGCACCTACAGCCAATCACAAATCAGTGCTGCGGTTCCATTATAAATACAAGCATAAGTGTGTCCTCGAGTCACCCCTAAAGCCCAATTTATGGTCGTGCATCTGCGTCGAGCAACGTGCACCTCCAAAATGTTCTAACTACGCACCAAAACAACGCAGACAGCAGGGGAAGTTGATGCAGACAATAAGGGCTGTGATTGGTCCTCCCTACATCCATTTCTGGTACTCCACTTTCCCGCTTCATTTTGTTTACACAAAAGTAACCCTAGACCTCCACGTAGATCCATAAATCAAAAACAACCGCGACAAAGTGACAGCAGTGTGCGTTGAGTCGACGCAGAACTATAACTCGCCCTTAATGTGTGATCCAACCCTTATTAGCATACTTTGTTGTTTGTTTTGTCAGAATGGAATCAGCTCTTGAAATCTATTCACTCCTGAAAAGTGATTGAGGGATTACACAGACATTTTTTTCAAAGGAAATTTGGCAACATCTGCTGGTTATTGATATATACAGCAGAATGACCATTGACTTCCAAGACGTGGCTAAAGTTTGAGGATGGTGGCCTCAATTTGTTTAAAAAAAAGAAAAAAAGTAAGACTACAGATGAGAAAGGTTGGCTATAAGGAATAAGACCTTAATTGGTCTAATCATAGAAGGGCAGCAGGAAATTTTTTCTTGATTTTCTGACAAGCATTATGATTAGATTAGCAACTCATAATAAGATTCTGTTGAACATTTTAAACATGTCCAGAAAAATTGACCAAAAGGTTATAAACTTAAAAACTAATATAAGAATCACGTTTCAGAACATCTTTGTACAGATCTATAGTAAATTACAGGGTTAGGAGTTTTTATGCTTTTATGTTTTTCAGGAGGTATTTCACAAATTACTGTTCAAAATGCCATTTCGATTTGATTGTCAATAATCTTGCAGCCTGACTCTGCCGCCTAAACTCTCTTCTACTTCTAGTCATTTGTCTTTGGTCTTACTTCCAGGCCATCCGGACTTTTAACTCCTGTGTGGATTCGAGCAGTCCAGAGCAGAGAAGAGTTCTACAGGCTCACTGTGACATCAAGTGTATTCTGTAAGACAAGCTACAAACACAAACTTCTCAAACACAAACACACATTCTTTATTCATTTGAGACCCTTTAAATTTGACTTGACTGTTTTTAACAGCTCTGATATGGCAGGAGCCCTCTTCACAGCTGGAGGCAAGTTTGCTTCACACATTTCCTCAACTAGTTAAAAATTCACAGAAGGGAAGATTGTGGATGAGAAAAAAGCCTCTTTCTCACCCTCATCTTAATGTTTAAAGTGGTGGATAAATATTATGCATTATTTCGACTTTCATTCTCTTTTAAACAATTTAACATTTTTACGTTTCACACACGTTAAAAAGTCCATCTATGTTTACAGTGCATTTGTGCACTCATATTCATAGTATATGCATTAACACAAATACTTTCTGTGAACAGAATTTAATCGCAGAAATGCTCCTAACCAGCAAGTGATGGTTTATGGACTTGTTTTGTCTACTATTCAAGTTTAACTTATCTATGACACCTTGTCATTTTGAACATTTTCAACACATTTTCAACATTTTTAAATCAAACAATTTAAAGGTGCTGTACTTTTCTTTTCTTTTTTTCAAACGAAACCATTTGTAGCAGTCCAGAGTTTTACCCGCCTTCCTTTCTCACATTCGTTGCACCCCATTATTCACCACAAGGAGTTCTGGTAGGACATCCCACAAGACCCCATCAGCCGTCTCAAGAGCATGAAACGACGTTGTCAAACATGCACACAAACAAGTGGGGGCCACACAAAAGACTGAGAAGCATTTTGAGTTGCAGAAATCACATTTCGGCAAAATGGACTCGCCTGCCACATCATTATTTCACTTTGATTTTCAGGGTGTTTATAAAACTAAAAAGGCTGAAAATGTTATTTCCATTCAAAGAGGTGACATCCTTTTGTTCTTAAGACATTGCCCTGTCTATATTTGTGTAGATATCCAACATATTTTTTTTTTTCCACATTGAGATCAGATGTGTTTTCAAGGTGTTCTTTAATTTTTTGGAGCAGTATATTTTTGTACTGGGGCAAAACCAAGAACACACCAAGTACAGCCAGATTAATACAAAAAACAACTTTGAACTAAGTACAACACCACGCATTAAATGAGTTATAACATGGTTAAAAATGAATACCAACGCTTGTGCTCATCAGCTCAGTGGAGTTCTGGACCAGGACTTGAACCTGAGTCTTCAGAGATTCCACCAGGTGTGGAAGACATTGCGCTTTGTTCATGTCCGAGAAACTGCGCATCCCAAGGACTACAGGCCCATGGCACTGACCACACATCATGAAAACTCTGGAACATTTCATCTTGGAGCAGTTGGGGCCTCTGGTGAAACCTCTACAGGGCCCCCTCCAACTTCAACTACCAGCCCCACCTCAGAGTGGCTCTACATGCTCAGAGTCTACACCTCCTGGACAAATCAGCCACCGCTGTGAGAATCTTTAAAGGTCTTTAACTTCTACAGGGGACCATATACATACAGAGCTTTGTGTCAACATCAGGGCTCTGCAGGCTATCGACTTATCTCCTTTCAAATACTGCTCAGTCTTGCAAACTTCAGAAGTTCTGTGGTGGGATGCCTCACAGTTGGTGATGAGAGGGAGTACAAAACTGATGGACAGTTCTGTCACATGGAACGAGAGGATGCTCAACATGAAATCCATAATAGCTGCTGTGAGCCCCACCTCCTCCAGAATAGAATACTGTAGAATACTGTTTGCGCTGTCATTTCCTTGTAACAATAAAGCTGTGTGCAGATTATGAGCTGCAGGCCTCCATCACAGAAACCCTGTGCCGCCTCACACTCAAACTGGACCGTCCAGTCAGAGCCAAGGAATGGTTCGTCCCAGAGCTCAGCCTCGCCTTCACAGCCATCCGCAACCCCTACTTTGAGGCGGTGAGTATTTGCAGAGGGGGACTACAGGGATGGGACAATACCACATTTTTTCTGATCAAAACCTATGTCAAGTAGGCCTACTATTGAGTTTGACCAATAGTTTTAATTTTAATAGTTTGAGTTAAATTTAATCAAATAGTTTTAGTGAACAAAAATCTCTTGTTAATTTAGTCGACTGGAATGCTCAAACGCACCATGTGAATGTGATATGCCGTATCAAATGGTCTAGCTTTGACACACATTACTTAGATTCTGCATGTAAAACATACACAGAATTACAAGTACTCTTACATGAGTAGTGTTTCCTTATTTACATTTGTTAAGCAGCAGTACCCTTTTTAAGCTACTCTGTCCATTTGTCTTATATGTCATGCCTAATTTGCTTGGGCAGATACACTGTGCATCAAAGGAGGACAAACTGCTTTGATGCACATTTTAGGCTGTTTTCCTCTGAAGAGTTTTTCTCCTCCACAGGACTGCAGACAGTTCCTGAACTTCCTCAACCGTACCCAGGGTGACCAGCGGAGGTCAGGAGAGAGCCATTACGTGTGTGCTGTCAATCCCATAGACTGTATAAAGAAGTGGACTTAGCAAGTGTGACATCACCCACAGTGTTCAAATGAAGCTCATGATGCTAGTGGTGACAGGGGAATTTGGATCCAGGCTCTCTTATGAGTAGGACTTTTTTAACGAACAAAATTGCAAAATAAAAACACCAGACTCATGTACTGAGGGTTAAAACTAAATTTTAAGACCAAAGTGACGAGGCTCACAGCAGCAGTTACAGAGAGAGGGGCCACATTATATAAATGTAAGTCAATGGGAGCCAGAGTCAGAAGGTGCCAGAAGAGCCCACACATGAACATCTTATTTGGAACACGGCGGCTAGTGCATAAGCTATGTCCATTTATATATACAGTCTATGGTCAGTCCTAGATGTGTAATCACAATCTCTTTGACAGGGTTTACACGTTTCCCTGTCTGCAGGCCTTGCTCGACTCCACACAGGTAACTAGGCCCTAGATTTAAAGAGCAATTAAACATCTAAACTCCTGCCACAATCACATTTCAAATAGACCTGCTAAACTGGAAAGTACCTGAAGGGCTAAAGAAGAACAAGAACGGGAGGTCTAGAGGGTCTACAAGTATAAGGAACAGTGTGTGTGTACCAACCCTCAGTCATCCAGGTAGAATCCATGGCGAAGAGGAAATTCAATTTGTCAACTGGACAAAAGTTTATTTTGATCAAATACGTTTCGCAGCTCATCCAAGCTGCTTCCACCAGAAATGACTGAAGAAGCAGCTTGGATGAGCTGCGAAATGTATTCAATCTAAATAAACTTTTGTCCAGTTGACAAATTGCATTTCTCCTTTGCCAAGGAACAGTGTGATTGGTCTAACAGGTATCCACACTTAAACTCCACCCAGCCTTTTGTGATGTCACCTGCTACAACTAGTTGCAGTGGCAACTGACTATATACACAGTTCAGCAGTGAAAACAGTAGATTTAGTGTTTAGGTATTTCGCACCAAGGCTGTGAATCACTACGCTAACAGGAGTGACCTTGAGGAAAGCAGTCACTGGATTTTGTTGGTGTATACATAACATCATTTAGTGAAATAAAAGCACCATGTCATATACAGAAGTGCGGGTAAATGACGAGCCTGACAGCAGTAATTATAGACAGTGAGAGAGGCGGTGATATTACATTAAGTCAATTGCAACCAGAGCTTGAAGGAAATTTGAATAAAATTCTTCTTTCTGCTGAATGTTCTCATTTGCAGAAGAGTACCAGAGGATTCTAAGTTGTCCTCTGGAAATGTTAGGCTACATAATGAACATACAAAATGAAAGAAAAAAAGCAAGAAAAAAATACAATGTAACATTTTGTTCATTTTGTTTTTTAGTTGAGACGACCTGAAGACGAGGACGTGACCGAGTTTTGGATCGACTTCAATTTGGGTTCAGAATGTGTCAGCTTCTTTTTGGACAATCCCAACAAAGAAACGGTTTGATCAGTCTCACTTGTATTCTTAAATGATGTTCAGATGATGATCTAGTTACAATACTAGTTTACGTATTGCTTAGTATTTGATTTTCAGTGCTTTTAACAACTCTAACTTTCATAGTCTGACATTTGTATTTGTACATGTTTTCTTTGATGTAGTGTTCTCTATGGGAGTCCATCCATGTGCTGAGAACTGAAGTCAACCGCTACAGCCTCACAGGTCAGAGTTATGAAACACTCTTGAGGAAACATCTTAGGAATGTCTATATTCTTATCTTTATCAAGTGCATTTTAAGTATTACTCTGTCTGATATTTTTACAACAGTTAAATGCGCTGTAGATTACCAGGTTTTTACTGTGTTAAAACGTGATAAACGGAATTACCATATTTTTCAGATTATAATTTGCACTTTTGAGGGAAATTTTATAAAATCAGACCAGGAACCAACATTTCATCTTTGAAAGTCAAGTTCTAGTAATAACAACAGAACAGAGAACAACAGACTGTTAACGTCACATATGAACAGTTCTTCAGATAAACTATAACATAAACAACAGAACAGAACAAGTTTACCAAACTCTCCATCTCAGTCCAAATCACTAAATCCATTCAATTCTTCATCTTCGGTGTCACCTCTGAGCAACTCCACAGCTGTCGTCAGACTCCGCATCAGTTCCAGTTAGAATTATGTCAGTCTTTCTGAAACCCCACAGGATGGTTTCTGTGTCACTGAAGTCCAGGCTTTGTCCATTCATCCAGTGACTTCCAGAAAAGTTGCATCTTGCACCCTCACGGTTGCCGTGAAGCTGTGTTCATCGTCCCCATTTTTCGTCAGTCCCTCACAAGTTTCACTCCACCTTCCTTTCTGCTGCTCGATTAGCGTGCGACTTAGTGCGACTTACAGTCCGGAAAATACAGTAGTTCGGTTTGAGTAGTTTTTCCTCACTTACCTTATGCATTCTGAAGATTCTACGAAATCTTTTGGCAGGGTTTGGAAATGTGTGCCCTGTGTCTCTGTTTCCACTATAGACAGTGGTAGAACGTAAATGGTAAAATGCACAGAAACCTAAAATGTACTTTAGTACATTTTAAAGTTGATACTTTTTACTTCCCTACATTTGAGAGCAGGTATCTGTAACTTCTACTTCACTACATTATTTGAACTAGACTGAAAAGTAAAAGTTTTTTTTTTTATTATTGACAGGGACCTGCTGAAAATCCTGAGGATGTATTTTTTTTTACATGTTTGTAGTCTGATCAAACTAAAATATACAAATAAAAATAGCTTGGAAAAAAGGTAGATTCAATTGTTTCTGCTGAACAAAATTTAGCACAAATCTATTAAAATTCATACATTTTAAGTTTTATTAAATCTGTGCAAAATGCTTTACATTTTACTCTTCAAGTACATTGTAAACATGTACTTTAATACATGCATTTTTACTTAAGTTGCTAAATTGATTACTTTTTCCACCGCTGCATGTTGAACACCCCCAGCATGATGGCACTGCAAAGTATCAATACAATAATGTTAATGTTAAAGTTAATGTTGTTGCAGAAGTAAACAGAGTGGCAGTGTTGCACATGGATCTCATAAGGCCCATGTTCCTGGAGGACTTGAGAGGCCAGAGGCTGGAGATCAGGTTTAAAGCAGACCTCCTCGGGGAACTGAGCCACGTCATTTGTCGAGTCTTCAAGGTGAGCGTGTGCCCCGGTACTCTTCATCGCAAACAGCTATTTTTGAATTTCATCACAAAACTTCCTGTCCCGCAGAGGCCCTCGGTGCCAGTGTCCTTCATGCGTACATACAGCAAAAAAACTCCAAAAAGGAAACTCCGAGGTTTGTCTGTTGTTTAACTAGATTTGCACTCGGGAAATATTTAAGGGACATTATGTATGATTAAAAAAAAGTTATTTTCATTTCATTTTCACTTATTTTATTTGGTCATTATATATCTCATTACAGTCTACATGTGCTTCAGCCTGATGCCTGTAAAATAAAACATACTGTAAATTCCGGACTATTGAGCGCCACATCAACAAAATTTTTACAAAATTTTAAAATTGTACATATATAGGCCGCACCTGAATATAAGCTGCAGGTGTCCACGTCTTCAAGAACGTTTTCAAGTTTAGGTCGTCTGCTTTTATCGCCTCTGAAAGCTTTCATCGTCTTTTTGCGTTGAGTCAGTTTGTCACGCTGCCGTCGCCAAAATCTCACCATCGACTCACTGATGTCGAGTTCACGTGCAGCAGCTCTGTTTCCTTCTTCCACAGTCACATCAATCATGCCTTTAACTTAAAAGCTGCATCATCTGCATTTCTTCGTGTGTTTTCCATGAGGAGGGTGTGTGTATGAAGCACAAAATAACTGTTCAAAACTTCCTTGGCACATCAGCCCGTCTCTCCCCGCGCTCTACTGCACATGTCTCCTGCAGAAAGAGCCGCTGTCCTGTCTGTATCATGTCAGTGTCTTGGAGGATTTCAGCAGATTTCAGACTCTCGGTGATAAACTGTTTGAGTGCGCTGACAATATCGCTAGCTAGTGTAGCAACTTCATGTTAACCCTAGATCCTATTTTTTTCCACAACGAATCTACGGTTCACATGAAGTTGCTAGCTAGCTAGCGATATTGTCAGCGCACTGAAATAGTTTATTATCGTGTGATAAAATAAGTTATGATGCTAAATGAACATTAGTGAGGGGGATACGTCTTACCCGTGTGTGTAAATGATGATAAGAAATGTTTCAAACTTCAGTAGCCGAACATCCACTCAGACCTGATCGATAGAACTAGCCCCGCCTCCGAGAGTCTGAAATCTGCTGAAATCCAACAAGACACTGACATGATACAGACAGGACAGAGACTCTTTCTGCAGGAGACATGTGCAGTAGAGCGCGAGGAGAGGGGGTGATGCGCATTGAGGAAGATCCTAGTTTGATTGTGTTTTGAACAGTTATTTTGCACTTCATACACACACGCTCCTCATGGAAAACACACAAAGAAATGCAGATAATGCAGCTTTAAAATTAACGGCGACTGATGTGGAAGAAGGAAACAGCTGTTGCACGTGAGGTCAGCATCAGTGAGTCGCTGGTGAGATTTTGGCGACGGCAGCGTGACGAACTGACTCAACGCAAAAAGACGACAAAAACTTTCAGAGGTGATAATAGTCCGGAAATTTAGGAAATAATAAACGGTTATTCAAACTCCAGACATGTTCTGGAGGAGATAACATTATAACATGGCTTAAAGCTCACAAGAGTCAGTTTCATGCAACACCTTTAAGGTTAGCATAATCATAAAAGTTAAAGTTGGGACCAGTGTCAGTGTAATGTCACCAGAAAGAATGAAAACCAAACCTGTTTGAACAATCATTTCTTTTCTTTGCAGTCCTACCGTTGTCCTCTCCCAGCAGCGAGGAAGACTCTGCAGTCAAGGTATGTGCTTCGCCACTTTGAGCAAACAACATGCTGTGACGTTTTTCATGTTTCCGTGTAGTCCCCAGAGACAAGTCGAGCGGAAATCTTGTTTGATCAGATCCAACACTCTACTCCAGCCTACAAGTGTGGTGAGGCCAAGTACTCGACTGCATTGAAAAGAACACACTTAGAGCCCGGTTTAAACAGTGTCTTGTTCAGGGGTCCGCTGGGAGGAGCAGGGACATGACTGCAGTTCTACATCAACAGCAGTAAGTGCTTCTGTATGGATTATACTTTGGTGTTAGACTCTTTATTTTTCACATGTTTACTCTTGAAAACAGGGCCTGGCTGGCAGTGTCCGAAAAAGGCCTTTCTCAGACTCTGGTAAGTTATTTTGCAGGTTGTACTTTATTTTTACAGTCTGACGTTATATCCACACGACAACGCTCATGGATTTAGTTTTTTTTATGGGCTGAAAAAACAGCACTGAGTGAAAACGATGTAATACATATGCCATACCTGTATGTGGTGTTGTAAACAATGAAAATAATATTTAATAATGCATATCTCATCATTTTTATTTTTTTATTTTTTTTTAGTTTAATGTAATTTAGCCTATTTTAGATGTATCCCAGAAATATAGCCGTTTGGTTTTGCAAAAGCTAAACATAAGTTTTCATTTTTAGCCATAAGATTTGGATGATAATTATTAGAATAACTTGGTCTGAAAGTTTAATTACCCGGGTGTAATCTTTGTTATTGATCCGTGTGCGTAATCTGTGGTGCGTGTTGTTCGCATTAGCACTAGCAGCACTTAGTTGCTGCGCGACAGGAGCGGCTCTGTGGGCTACACCTGTCCCATTTCGACAACGGTCTTGTGGTCCGCGGAAGCTCATTCGGGGGCTGCAGCTTTATCTGCGTTGGAGGACCCTGACGATGACGGAGTTGCGACGTCATCGTTTTCCAAAGGCTCGCCAGCATTCTCAGATTTCTCCACTCTGGAACCAGTTCTCAAAAAACACTGTTTTTGCCCATTCAAAACGCCAGCTCCATGTGGACGAAAGGCCAAAACAAATACAAACTTTACCATTTCGACCAAAAAACGTTGTCGTGTGGACAGGTCCTCAAAAAACTGTGATTTTTAAAGGGCCTGTATTATTTTCAGTCAAAAGTTTGGACACGCCATCTTATCCTATGTTATTTTTGTTCCTTATTTTTACAGTTATCTATATAAAGAAAATGTATAAGAAAAAACATTACATAACTACTAAATGTTATTTTTAAATATATTTTAAGTCCAAATCCTTATGTTCCACCATTTGCTCTGCCAAAGATTATACTGGTATACTGGTAGTTTGTCAGTTTGTCGTTTCCTTCTCAAAAACGTATCTGGATTCTGTGTTCTGTCATCACCCCGAATTTTCGTTTTCTTCTCATAGGTTACCTAACGGACACCATAAGGACACCCAAGAGAGTGCAGCCCTCCAGTGAGCGTGCGAGATCTCCTGCGCAGCGAAGACGAGCTAAAGAGGAAGAGCCTGTGCATAGATGGATGGAGCTTGATGCAGAGGAGGAGCATGTGCATGGGAGTGTGGGTCATAAGGCAGAGGAGGAGGCTGTGGATTTGAGGGTGGAGCTTGATGGAGAGGAGGAACAAGTGGATAGAAGGATGGAGCTTGATGGAGAGGAGGAACAAGTGGATAGAAGGATGGAGCTTGGTGCAGAGCAGGAACACCTGGATGGAAGGGTGGAGCTTGGTGCAGAGGAGAAGCACGTGGATGAGAAGGTGGAGCTTGGTGCAGAGGAGGAGCGCGTGGGTGGGAGGGTGGAGCTTGGTGCAGAGGAGAAGCGCGTGGATGGGAAGGTGGAGCGCGTGGATGGGAAGGTGGAGCTTGGTGCAGAGGAGAAGCGCGTGGATGGGAGGGTGGAGCTTGGTGCAGAGGAGAAGCGCGTGGATGGGAGGGTGGGGCTTGGTGCAGAGGAGGAGCACATCCATGGGAGCGTGGGTCTTGATGCAGAGGAGGATTCGCTTTCTATAGACAGGTTGGCAGAAGAGCTTGGACCGGAGATGGAGTTAGCACAGTCTCGGGCAGAGGGAGCGGGATTGGCAGCAGAAAAGGAGGTGGAGTCTGCGAGTGAAGGGCCAGGTGCTGTAGCCACAGGGGGGAGATCCCTAGCGGACAAGGCGGGGTGTTTATCAGAAGAAGGAAGGCCTGCTGGAGAAGTGATGGAGTTTCTAGAGAATGGGGCAGAGTTAACAGCAAAGGGGATGGAGTCTCATGCCATCGATAAGGAGTCTGTTGCAGAGGAGAAGTCTGTGATAGAACTGGAACCTGGCACATTTAAGTTAGGTAAATACATTTTGTTATTGGATTTAAACCAAACATTGTTTCACATGTAAAAGAAATATATTTATCACAATCCCAAAAAGTAGCAGAACCAGTCTGTTTTTATGTGTATTTAAAGAGGGGGTATTTTAGCCAGGCTGGCGCCACCTAGTGCCTCCACTCAATTTCATTTCTCTCAAGCAATTAGGTCAGGAATCAAAATACAATAGACAGTTTGCAAAAACCCTGGAAGTGCAAGTCTGGACACCAGCCAATCAGTGAAGAGCCATATATTCAGTGTTGTCAACGATTCCCGAGATCAAGGATTTAAAGCCAGAATAAAGAGAATGTTTGGTGAATTTTATCAAGGGGAAAGACACTATATAAGCTTGGATTTGGGAAAAGCTTAATATACCAGTTAGCCCCATTAGCGGCGCATTACATACGTCACGACCAAATAGGAGCGATTGGTTAAATGATAAAAAGTACCCGCCTACCATCGAGCGAACGAATTCTAATGCTGCGAGGTCAGACTGTTTCCACGGAGTCAAACCGGCTGATGAATCAGGTTAGGGGTATTTATTACCTGCTAACACATATTTAGATTACCATGTTACCTTTTGTTTGCTATATTTGGGGAAAAAACAACAACAACATACTAACATGATTTATAAGTTTCTCTTACATTTTTGACAGTCTGAGTCTCCCCTTCCTTTGTTCTGATTATACAGCGTTTTTACCCTTAACACACCTTCACTAGAACCATTTCGGCTACGTTCTGACTGCAGGGCTTAATGCTCAATTCAGATTTTTTTTTTGTGAAATCTTTTTTTTTTTGCAAGGTTGTTCACATTTCCAATTAAATGTGACTTCTATGTGATCTCCAGTGTGAACTTTAAATGCCCCAAAAGGTGTCCAGCATGAGCACTGGAGGACACGACAACATCACACGCAGTGAGTGTGCTCAGTGTTTACAGAAGTCGCATAAACATGGATGCAGCATTGAGCACCTGGAGATTTTAAAGTTGCTGTCGTACCAGAGCCAGAACATGCACAGCTTATTTGTTTTAAAAGACGAGAATGAGAAGGAGAAGGACGAGGTTTTTGGCCATGGCGTTTGTGGGGCAGCGGCAGTAACGTCCGTAGAAAGGAACATGTGGGTGCAGAGTCGCAGCCAAGAGTGGTGGGATTGTTATGTGCTTCACTGTTTCAGCCACATGGAGTTCATACACAATTTTCATTTGACGAGAAGAACGTTTCTGTACATTTGTGACGAGTAGGTGAGATGAAGGACACCTGGCCATTCAAGTCCAGTTGAAGTTGAAGTCACATGTCAAAAGATTGGATGTGTATTGGTTTTAGGAGCACATATCCAAGTGGCTGGCGTCGCATTTGGAAAAAATCAATCTGTCATTAAAAGATTAGATACAGGTCACATAGGGGCGAAAAAAAATGGTATTTGGGTCACTTCAGGCTGCAGTCTGAACTTAGCCTTAGATGATTTCAGGCCTGGAATGGCCAATCTGTACCAATCTGTACTGAACTAAAAGTAAAAAGTATGTATGTACATGTAAAGTAAGAGATGTACAATAGGCAGGCTGATAATGAAGGATTATTCAAGCTTGTGAATGAAACAAAACACAAATCCAGGTATTTTTATGATGAGGTAACAACATTGAGTGCGTATACATGCACATCAATAACCCGGTTATTAGCCATATCCCGGTTATGTCAGTATTCGGGTTACTGCATATACATGCGCACTGAGAAACCGGGATACTCATATCCGCGGTAATGATGGTAAGTGTGTTTCGTGCGTATACAGTATAGGAGATAGTTCATGTTTTAGCTTTTCAGCGATCACACGAGTGCAGGTCGTACGAGTGCAGATGGTACGTGTGCAGGTTTAGCGCAGCTCTTTATTTTACAGTCATTTCACTCGTTTGGTCACTTTATTTATGTTGGTCAATTTATTTATGTGACTACTGTTGTGGTGAAAGGCTGGAAAGTGTCTTTTGGACGCATGCGCACTCAACTTTATGTTGCAGTAACCGGGGTACTGCGTATACATGCCACAAGTAACCCGGTTACTATCGGAATAAACCAGCTACAGTAACCCGGTTTCTAATAACCGGGATACTGCCATAACCGGGTTACTGAAACCGGGTTACTGCGTATACATGCACCATCAAGAAACCGGGATACTCAAAAAACCCGATCATAACCGGGTTATTGATGTGCATGTATACGCACTCATTGTAACATGGCTTAAAGCTCACAACAGTCAATTCCATGTAATATACGATCTTTAAACTAATCTGAGCTGTCCACATTTCAGAGTGGTCTGCAGGAGGGGCGGACTTGCCGGAGCAGGTGGATCTCCAGGTGATTAACAGCACGGAGTCTTTAGTCTTTGAGCAGTCAGAGGAGCTGAGGGCAAACACTGACATCATAGCCAACTTTAAAAGTCTATTTGAGCAGCAGATAACCGTTAGTAAGCACATCCAAGCTCACATTCCCACCTTCACGCTGTGTCTGTCTGCACCAAAAACCTCACCTGTGATTGTTGCAGAGCCAGTGGCAGCAGGTGGAGAATCAAGTGGTCCAATTTCAGCGTGAGACCCACAAACGCCTGTCAGAGCTACTGTCGGCTTTTGAAGAGCACAGGTATGAGTTAAAATGCATATGACAGTTTGGACTATTAATTTTACTAAAACATAGCTAACATCTTTATATTTAAAGGTGCACTGTGTAACTTTTCCAGATAAGAGAATAGGGAGCACTATTTCCCTAGTCGAACTCATTCATAAAGAATTCTCCACTCTCTGCCACATTTTAGAGTTTAGACAAACCCAACTTGAAAAACTGTCACAGGATAATCAAACACTCAAGGACATAGGTTTGCATAGGGACTGCTGGGACATATCACAACCAAGGGAAGACAAAATAGTCCCTATCAATATTTACCATTTTATTTTAATAAACAAAAATATAAATTTATTCTGACATTTTTCCAAACTCAATAGTATTAACTTAACACATTTTAGTACACGTTTTGTTTATTAGACACTCTGAGATGTATTCAGTGACATGATGACATGTAACAGAGTGATGTCATTAGTGGAGCCAGAAGCCTAAACTGGGAAAGTGGCAGGACAGGGCCAGCACCTGAAGATGTCTGCTTGAGCAGGCGTGAGTGAAGACGGTGCACCAAACTTTGAAAAACTTTTCAAAAGGAACTTACTTGGCCTCATCTTTAATTAAACTTGCCTTGTAATGAGTCACTGTGGAAAAAGAGGGACTATCACCACAAGTGCACATCCCAAACAGAGCCCTACTCGTGCGCTCTTAGCAGCCTGACTCTACTGACAATATTCCATGGAAAAATGTCTGAACACTACCTCACAAATATCTCATCACCAACAAGCAAAGGAAAATCTGCTACAGCTTCTACATCGCTGTTATCCACTAAACAATCAGGGGCAATGGACACAAACTGTACATTTTGCAAATTGAAAAATGAAACCTCCTCTCACTTATTTTGGACCTGCCCAGACTGTGTGTTTTTGGAAAGAATTCGTAAAACATATACGTAACGTCTTATCCCATTTTACTCTTTCTTATGAAGATGTGCTGTTTGATTTTTGCAGTGTGCATAATAAGAAAAGTAAACAATGTTATGTAATTAACCTGTTAATCAAGTACCTTATCACTTGGTTTCACATTCGACCACATAACCACAAACAAACGACTTTGGTGTTGGCGACCAAAGGCTGCACCCAATCCGCAAAAAGATGATGAAACTACGACATAAGGCTATTCTAGCGATAAATAAATTATACATAGATTAATTATACCAAAATAAGGAAACTAGAAGTCATTCTTATTGTTTCGTCACCCCTTCACACCTTGATGTATTCACAATAAACATCAAATTTATATGTACTAACCATAGCTAACTGTTCCAAATAGGAAGTGAGCATGGGCGTGCATCTGGCTCCATCGACTCACTTTGTATTGAGAAACTGTTGCTGCTTTGTCTGAAACTGCTGCTGTTAGATTCCTCACTTTGAGCTTAAAATGTTTGTATTAACTTTTTCTACATGATCCTCATTTCAACATTTTTGTCTCCAAATTTGCCTCCATGATTTGACTGGAGCCAAGGCTATGGGTCATATTTTCTTAGTTCACTCCTTTTATACATTTGTCCAAAAACAACACAAATAATGCATAATATTTGTTGTTAAAGGGCGGTACATGAGCAGATGCTTCGAGACACGGTTTGGAACTGGAAAGCACTGGAGGACTTTCACAGTATCAGCTCTGGCATCACGGTACTACAGCAGCACTTAGGACCCGGCCCATAGACTCATATGACTGATGCCCTGTGCTGTCTGCCCTCTTGTCTGATTGCAGTATTTCATGAAGAGTGAAAACCAAAGAGTGACGTCCTTCTGTCAACAGCACATCCTCAGGTCAGTGCTTCACCTTTTCAGCTCTTTATAATGATGCTACTGTGAAGATTAAAAAGTCATTATGCAAAATCAACTTTAAAGGGCCCATATTACGTTATTTTCTGGCCTTCTATAATGTTTCCTCATCGCAAACAGACCTGGAGTTTTGTTTTGTTTCATTCACACGTTTAACAGACAAATCCTGCATATTTAGGCATCTTTGAGCACCGTATTTTTTGGACTAGTCGCACTTTTTTCATGGTTTGGGTGGTCCTGCGAGTTATACTCCAGTGCGACTTATATGTTAAAATTTTCACACAGACAGCTGTGTAAAATTTAAACAAACTTATAAAGACAATTGAGAAGACTGAACCCAAATGCCCCCAAAAAGAGAATGAGCCTCACAGAAGATTACAAGCTGCAAGTAGCGAAATATGAAAAAACAACCAGCAGAAAGAACGTTTGGAGTGAGCGAGAAACTTGTGACACCACGAGGAATGCACCATGTAACTTTCCTGGAAGTCACTGGATGGATGGACAAATCCTGACAACGGAAACCATCCTGTCAGGATTCAAAAAGGCTAGAATACTTCTAACTGGAACTGACGCTGAGTCTGACGACAGCTACACAGAAGAGGAAGCGGCCCTCCGTTTACCTCCGGAGGTAGTTCCTGAAAAGTGACACTGTGGATGAAGAATTCAATGGATTTAGTGATTTGGAGTGAGCTGGAGAGTTTGGTAAACTTGTTCTGTTGTTTATGCTATATGTGGCGAGCGGGCTATATGGGAGGGGTGTATAAGAGAACCCCAAAGTAATATAATTAACATAAAACCAACAACGCCACTGGGCATAGCCCAGAAACTAAAACTAAATTTACTAAACTAAAAGGCTCACAGGTTCATTAATTGACAGAGACAAGTGACTTACAAAACATGAAGTAATTTATTATTGCCATAATTCATTTGTTTCTTTTTGTTAGATTAACTTTAAGAGTAGATTATTCACTCTTCACATAACTGCCGATTAAAACAGTCACAAAAGCAGCTGTACGGTGATTTTGTCCTTAAAATATAAAACACAGTAAAACAAAGCAGCAGCTCGTTCACAGGGCCACCGCTCCACCAGATGACATGCCGAAGACCACCCTGGACCCACAAAACACACGCTTCTACATCCACGAGGCTTGACGCCGAGCGGCCGAGGCATCTGACAGCAACACCGACCCAACCGTGGACAGCGGCGAACAGTGGCGCTTGTAGCGATCAACAGCAAATACACACAGGAGCTTTACTCACGAGCCATAACTTCGATCGGGCACATCGGGACTCTAGGAGCGGTGGCACTACAATAAAGCCACACATTAAGTTATAAAATTGCAATTGTAATTAGAGAACAGTGGTTGTTCACCTGTGCGTGACAAGGCGGAGCCCTATCCCGGAAGTGCGCCGAGGTCAGAGAACGAGACGCTACAGGGAGTGCCCTTTTATAAGCCCAGGCGCCACTTGGTGGCAGAAGGCAGCAGGCGCACTGCTACATTCAGTTATCTGAAGAACTGTTCATATGTGACGTTAACAGTCTGTTGTTCTTTGTTCTATTGTTATTACTAGATCCTTATATAGCTCAATATATGTTGAAAGGGGAATTAAAGCCACAAGAATGCATAGTATGTGTCAAAACCGAACAAACCACAAAAAGAATAACTTGTCTTTTCTCTTGCTCGATCAAAGTTATGTACTAGTTGTTAACAATGTGAGAAAATGGATGCATAGGAGTGTTAAATTAAAACTCAGTCTCCATATTGTAGCACGGGGCATGTAGAGTGCTCGCAGACTTATAAGAGGGACTTAAGTGGCACAGTGAATGAACCACTGGCGTTGTGTTAACTCCTGATGCAGCACCTGTCTTGATAAATTCACTGTTAATTCTGTTTGTTACCTCCAGGCTGAAGAAGTGTGAAGAGATGGAGAGAGCGAGCGAGAAGGGGGGAAGCAGCACAGTTCAAAAATAAAGAGGTTGTCACTGTCAGTGTTTGTTACTTTGTAGTGATCACTTTCGCTCCCTGCATTGCATTTTCATTATTACAACAGCCCAGCTTAAAGCTACAGTAAGTAACTTTTGGAGGTTGGTGGCATGTCACCTACATAAATTAAAATAAAGAAGTTAAAACCGTACTTGAACATTTCCATGGAGAAAGCGTTTAACTTTGTGTGTGTCCTTTGCATTTGACCCATTCTTAAGTAGCGCTGAAGGCACCTGTCAGTGAAGGAGGACCCATCTGCAGATCGTGAGCTAGTTTTTACCATAGATCATTCTGGTCAAAAATAGAGACACCTGGGACATTCCTTGTATGAAACTGGGACAAATCACTGGTTTTGTATGAATCTGGGACATGGACACAGGGCCACACTGTCCTGGTAAATAGGGACGTCTGGTCATTCAAGCTTAAATTCAACTTCAGCTTTATGCCAGTGTTAATTTAGAAAAAAATATGAATTGAATTATTAGATTTTGCCCTAGAAAAACTATCGTAAAATATACAAAAGTAACAAGCATGAACAAGATCCAAAATTTGAATGGTGCCTTTTGTAATGTTTTAATCTGACACATTTATTTGAACTTTAATCATTTCTTTTCAAGCAAAGTCTGAAGCTTTGTAAAAGTTGTAGAATGTACAATGCAATATGATTATTATTCATGAAAATGTATGATTAAAAATTCAAAAGAGATTTTGATGAATGTATTCATTTACTTTGGTTTTGGCCCAGTCTAGTCCTGATGTAGTCTTGTTTTAGTTCCAGTATTAATGGGGTGGGTGTGTGTGTGCGTGTATGTGCGAGTATGTGCAAGTGAACGCATCCTTAGTGTCATGATGTGACTACATCATGACTGAAACATGAATAAAATTATATTTATTGAGAAGAAAGGATTGTAGAGGCACTTTGATTTGCAGTGTATTTATTAACGGTCACGCCATTGCATTTCGACTACTGAGTTTTCATCAGGGCTGATGGAGTGAGCAGTGGGTGTGAATATTTATAGAGGTGATGTGCCTCAAACATGTGCGCATTAAAAACAAAATATTCATATACATGTTGAGTCCAAAGTATACTGACAACATAACATTCAGAACACAACAAATAAACACTGTTGTAGGTTGAAGTATAGTCAGTGATACATATTTGTCTTGGGTTACACCGCACACTTCATCAAAAATAGTTTTAAGTCAACAGTATCACAAGTAGATAGAAAAGTTTTATCAAAAATATTTTTTTCTGGTGCTTTCTACTTGTGATACTTGTGATCACTGGTTTTGTATGAATCTGGGACATGGACACAGGACCAGACTGTCCTGGTAAATGGGTATTTGGTGGTCAATCATCAAGAGAGGGCATCTTGCCCCTCTTGATGATTGACAACACTATGATAGAGTAATTAACCATTTGGCGTATATATAGATGCTTAATAGTTCCAATAGTTTATAGGGGCGGCTATAATGTTTAACTTAAAGGTGCAATGTGTAACTTTTGTGGTTAAGGGTCCACCACCTGCTTTTTTTTTTTACCAAGGAGATATTACTGTTTTGCCCTGATTATGCCACAGAATGGAAATAAACTTGGTAATCACAGTGGAGACAGGTTAATGGTCAGATCTATGGAGAGGCCACCTGGCATATGGTAAGAATTCACACTTTTTAAGGTAATGTTCTGTGTTGCAGGCAAAGAAATAACTTATGCAATGTATTATACAAAATCAATGTTTTGGAGCATTCTCTCATGTTATCAGTGATGGAAGAAGTACACTGAAGCAAAACTACACAAGAAAAACTAACATGAAATGTATTAAGTAGTAGTACTTAATGGTACTCTTTAAGTACACTTTTAAACAGGTACTTTAATACTTAAAGTGTACCTAAAGAGTAAAAGGTAAAAGTATTTAGCGAGTAAATGCAAGTCATTTCAGTAAACATGCATTCTTCAGTTTGTTGTTGTTGAAATTTACTCCGAGGCTATGCTCCCCCAGATTAGCATGTACGCGCTAATCCTTCTAATAAGGAATCATGGCCCGCGGAGTGATGAGGAGTGATGAAGTACCCTTGTCGGTGTGTGCGCGTGTCTCGAGTCACTTTGGGTGAGTGACATTCTCATTAGCTTCGTGTCAATGGGGCTAACGGGCTGCTAAAGGCTAACAGATGCTGGAGGCTAAACACACATACTAATTACCTCCAGGTTATCGGGTGTTCCCTCGAGGCTCATCCAACAGTGTACACAGAGAGGGGGGACGGGAAGAAAGTGCACTATATATACTCAGAATGAATGCTGTCAAGCTTTGAGAAGAAAATAAAAACATTTGATGACCCCCTTCATGTCTCCGAAGGCTTTTGTCTTCACTATGGACTCTATAAAGATGTGGACTAAGCGAGTGTGACGTCACCCACAGAGTTCTGATCTAGTCAAATGAAGTTCACGAGGCTAGCAGTTATAGGGGTGAATTTAGACTTTATTAGGAATAGGAAAATAGCAGAATATAAGCACCAGGATCATGTAGAGACATTTTAAGATCAAAACGAGGAGCCTGACAGCAGCAGTTACAGACACAGTGATGTTTTCTCAATACAAAGTGTATTGAAACCAGAGCTGATGGAAGCACGCTCATGGTCACTTCCTATTTGAAACGCAGCACCTAGCAGGTTAGCTATGTTCATTTGTGTACAATTTATGGCAGGGGTCTCCAATGTTTGTCCTTCAGTGAGCTACCTTTCCAAAACAAAAATGCCAGAGAGAGAAAATGTTTGCAGATGCAAGAAATTGGCTCTATACATGTTACGCTTCAAACTGGGAAGACGTTAAGAAAGATGTGATTACAACTTCGGCGGGTTCTGTTCGCGGTAGAAAGTCTGACAAAATCTAGAAAAATTAGAAAATGGTCCAGTTTTCTTCATCTACGTGTCATTGTAGCATTCTGTTATGTTCTGTAAAACAACAATTACTACCATACCTTACTTCTCGGTAGGCGAGCCCAGTGTCGGTAACTACCAAGCCCCCAGGTTCCAAAATGGTCGCCCATTCAAGTCAATGGGTCGAGCTCAATGGCGCATGATCCCAGATTAGACGAGCCTGGCTAGGTACTTCCGGTGGCTGTGGGCCAAACGAGCATGTGCAGTAGTGCTCTTTTCTCCCACGGGCACACACAAATGCACGCGAACATACGCACAGAGCGCGGGTTCCTGTATCACATGATCACTTTGACCAATCAGAGCGGAGCCGGAGCTAACGATTATAAAGTGTTTTTTTTAAGACAACTGAAGGGTTTTGAGCTGAGAAAAAAATTAATGATCTAAAAACAGGTAACAAATCCGACATTTTTTTAAATTGTAGGTGCCCTGTCAGACGAACACGAGCAGTTTGTGATTACACTGCGCTTTATGAGAAAAATTTTGTCTCGGTCCATGGGATTTTTTCTGCTGAAGTTCCAGTGAGTGACCACTACGTCAACTGGAGGCAGCTACAAGCAGCAATACTGTATCCAGTTATTTTAATAGATCCATGGTAACCACACCAAAAGTTGTCGTTGCATCTTTCCAGACGTCTTCCTGGTTTGTGACGTAAGCGTGAATAGAGCCTATTGAGTATAAGAAACGTTATCCATGTATTCATTATAATTGTTATTATTTATATATTTTTTGTTTTTGTTATATCTTAAAAAAGATATTAGGTGTCATAATTACAAATTTTCTTCAAAAATTTCACAAAAATCATACAAGTTTTTTCATTTACTTCATTTACTAAATCAGTAAAAGTTATCCTCTGCCTCGGCCAGGTTGGGATTCCTTGTATCCTGTGTATGAATGACAAAGTTGAAATGCACACAGAATGTAAGAGGTGTTGAATATATTCAAGGGATTAAATGTGAGTCATACAAAACAAAGATTAGATCCATTGAACATTTTAAATTAGATTCGATTAGACATATGAAGAGCTACAGAGCAAAAGTTAAACAGGGCATATCACAAACATTACTTTACAAATACAGTTTACACATTTAGCTGTTTTAAGACATGCAGAAATGGAACCAAAGACACTAATGGAGAAACAGCTTACCTCAGCGACAATGGACCGAGATACTGAGGGCGACTTGGAGAGTCTTCTGGCAAAGCTAAGACGGGAACAAATACAGCAGGAACAGAACAGCTGAAATACACAGGCTTCAAAAGATCATCAGTGAGAAAATCCTGTTGACTAATGAGCTGAAAAGTTACATTAAGAAACAGGAGGATGAGAACCAAAGACTGAGGGAGTTTATAGGAGTTCAGGAGCAGACAACAGCCGTCAGAGCCAAACTTTTTACATCCAGCTCCCCGTATTCAGCAGGGACTATACAAAGGTGAAAAAGACACCTTAATTGTTGTTAAAAAAGACTGCAAGATGACATGTAGATGAAGAAAACCGGGCCATTTTCAAATTTTTCCCAGATTTACCCAGAGTTACTATCGCCAACAGAGCCCAAAGGAAGTCATCATCCGGGTGTTTCCAAATGTCAGCCGGTTTTCGTGACGATAAACAAAAAAAATACATAAAATAAAAATTCTTCTGTCACACTTACTTTTCTGCCTTTCTGCCTTCATTATGTTTTTTGAATGTTATGTTACTGTACTAATACACATATTCTCCCTGCTTTCCATTTTATAACTTATAGAATTTTCTATTAAAAAAACAGTGAGCTAGAATTGATTAGCATTGATTAGCACATTAAATATTTTGTTTATATGAGGATTTTGCACATTAATCTTTGTATCATTTGTTCATTTGTTTTTCAATGTAAAATTAAAAATAAGAAAACCGAGAAGACCGGGACCAGAGCGGACTGAGATCAGGACCAGACCGAGACTGAGATCAGGACTGAGACCGGGACCAGACTGAGACCAGACCGGGACCAGACCGAGACTGAGACCAGGACCAGACCAAGACTGAGACCGGGACCAGACCGAGACTGAGATCAGGACTGAGACCAGGACCAGACCAAGACTGAGACTGAGACTGGGACCAGAGCGGGACTGAGACCGAGACCAGGACCAGGACCAGACCAGGACCAGACCGGGACCAGACCGAGACTGAGACCAGGACTGAGACCGGGACCAGACTGAGACCAGACCGGGACCAGACCGAGACTGAGACTGAGACCAGAAAGACCGGGACCAGACCGGGGACCAGACTGAGATCAGGACAGACCAGGACCAGACCAAGACTGAGACTGAGACTGGGACCAGACTGAGACGGAGACTGAGACTGAGACCGGGACCAGACCAGACCAGACTGGGACCAGACTGAGACTGAGACCAGGACCAGACCAGGACCAGACCGGGACCAGACCGAGGACTGAGACCAAGACTGAGACCGGGACCAGAGCGGGACTGAGACCGAGACCAGGCCGGGACCAGACCGGGACTAAACCGGAGGTTCAGAGCCCATGAGCTGAGGCTCGGACCCCGCGGAGTCTCAGAGTCAAAGCTCGGAGTCCGCTCTGGTCCTGCTCTGGTCCCGCTC